AACTTGCGCTCTTGATTCGGGTCTCACCGCTGGCAGTGATGGGCTCCTCATCGCGGCATCAGCAACGAATCTCTCCATCTCAAGGCCCTGATTGCACCAAGCCCTGCCCTTTGAGTACTCTCCACCCACCAGACATCGGAAGAATTTTGGAAAGCTTGAATGAGGCGCTCAATATAGCCTTGTTGCACATGTCCTCGTAGCGCTTTTCTGATTCTTCTCCTTCTTCCCTTTTTGCGACTGGAGGGCTTGGACCATCTTGATTTCCTGCCTTCGTCATCTTCTTCTCCCTGTTCTTCTTGAGATTGAAGGAGCTTGGCCTATCCCTCGTCATATTCATATGGTGAGGTGGTGGGTCTCGAAGTACCCTTTCGATGTGGCCAAAGGCCTATTCGATCTTGGTCTTCTGCTCTTCAAATACGACGTTTGGGCGTTCAGTCCAAGCATGATCACCCGTCTCACCACGTACGACGCGCACCTTGGTTTCACCCGTGATCCTTTCCTTGAATCTTCGGTGGGTCAAAGTCTTGAACTGGACGAAGGGGTCAACTCTTCTCTTCTTGATGGGCGCGCCCAAAGTCCATTGAATCGCTGATGCTTTGCGCTCCCGTCGGGGATGAGGAGGCAACAGGCTCATCCTTGATCTCAATGTCCTTCTCCGCATCTTCCTTGGAGTCGTCTTGCATGATGTTCTCCAGCTCAAGCTGTTCTATCGGCATAGTGATCTGTCAACGACACCTGCCAAAACTGAAGGGCTGCACATGGGTTGCGCGAAGCATCTCGCTTCATCACCACAAGACTCGAATCAGCAGCTTTCTTTCGTCTTTTCTTCACGATCAGCTGTCGTCGATGGATGCATAAAACTGCAAGAATGACAATTCCAGCCCTCAAGGGCATTCATCGATTCCCTTCCAATCCTTCAACAAGATGCTGTTGAAGCATCTGGCCGACTCGAATATCCCAGTCCAAAACTCCATGATGCTCGACAGTTGACGCGCCGCTTGCGACATCATAGTCTCGGCGCGCGTACAAGTAACCTGCCTCGCTCTCTTTGGAGTAGTCTTTCGCGTGTGAAGTCGGCACGCGTACGCCTCGAAAGCGCGACGTTCCCTTGACGACCTTTGACACCCACTTTGGCTCTTGCTGAGGGTACGCTTGCAAGAGTGGTCAAGAAGTCCATCTTGTGGCCTCTTGTTTCTCCACTCTTTGCGCAAGTCCTTGTCACTTGCCACTCCACCTGCATGTAACCTTGCCCAAAAGACATACCCACACTTGAGACAGTGGCTGCGTTTCATGTCTTGAGAGTCCCACGGCGCCAAGGTTTTGTATTTTTTGCACACGCAGGACCCTTCTGCGACTCCCTCTGCCCTCTGCTCATGGATCCAGTGCAGTAGTCGGTTCCCGATCAGGGTGCTTCAACACCAACTGGATGTCTGTCCATTGGATGTTGTTGGTGAGCTTCATCCTTCCTCAGATCTCACAAGATGCAGCATCCACCGCTTGGTTGGACTGGTCACCGAAACACTCATGACATAGAGAATTTTGATACGGTCCCAGTAGCTTGTAGCTCCATTGAGAGTGTTCAAGATAGATCTGACACCACCCTTCTCTTTCTTGAACCCTTCCGTTTCGCCAGCTTTTGCTCCTTTCCTTGTTGCTTTGCACTTGCGCAGCGTTGATGTTGATGTCTGGCGTACATATAGCCATCTCTTTTCTAGCGTCACCCTTGAGCTGGTAGATCGTTGGGGCCATCGGCGAAAAACCTGCTTGGCCAGGTGACTGGCGGACAAGCAGCACAACGTTTGGAAGTTGGCCCAGAGGTAGTCGTCCGTGACGAATCAGGCAACCAGCACGGACTTCCCACTGGTCAGCAGTTTTGTCAGTGATCCACGCGCGAGTCTTGCAGTATAGGCTCTTGGTATCCAAGTAATCCGGTCTTCCAGATGGAAGGCCTGTCCTGCCAGAGCATCAGTGGCTGGTGGTTGTGGCGCCAGTGTGCTAGGCGCCGAGCTGGTGGCGCAACAGCTGGGCGCTGTTGGCGTGTCCGCGATGGAGCAAAGCTCATTTCTTCTTGTCTGTTGATGCGATCGTCTCTGCGCGAATGTTTCTTCTGCTGGCTGTGGTTCGTAGAGCTCTGCTGTTGTTGGATCTAGCTGTGCCCGTTCTGCTTGCTGTTGCTGAGCGAATTGAGCTGGCTCTTCACTTGACTCAGAAACCAAGTCCAGGTCGCTTGGGACTCTGCAGCTGCCGGCTGGTCTTGTCTGCCATGTGTCTGCTGCTCTTTAGGTTCCTGGTCTGCCGTTGACGCTGGTGGAAGGGCCAGTCTCGGTCGTTGCCGTGATGGCGCCATCTCGAGGTCTGAGTCTTCCATCACGTCGCCTTCAGGGTCATCTTGACGATGGTCAGAGTCTATCTCCGCCAAGCTCACGCCGCGAGAACGAAGTTGTTGCACCGTGGCGAGAGCTTGCTGAGCATCATCCATGGCACGACAGACTTTCTTGATGTTGGCTCTGGCGTGATGCATGAGCCGAGGCCAGCCAGTAGTCGTGGACACGTTGCTGTCCTTCACCATCAGCCTTGCACTCCTTCATCACTTGGGCAGGACCTGGCCATCTGATCTTGACAAGGCGCGCAACTTGCCAGAACCACGTTGACCCAAACTCTTGACGCGGAGTCCAAGCCTTTGCGCTTGGCACCAAGAGCTCTGCGAAGACGTCGGTCCGCGTCAGCCTCAATTGGCCTTTTGAGCCGCTTTCAGCTCTGTGGCACAACATACACCAAACCCAACTTGACGCCAGCCGCTTTGAAGTGCTTCTACTCATCACAGCGCTTTGCGGAGGACAGCAAGTGGGATATTGACATTGACCGTTGACCATTTCTCGAAGTCACGGCTGGGCCACCTTCTGCCTTTGTCTATCACGGCAGCATCGCAGCTGTAAACCTGGTCGCAACGTCAACCAGGTTCACGATGGAAAACGTGGAGGAGACCCTTCGCAGCCAAAGACGTCCGCTTGGAGCGTTTGGCATCAGCTGGTTTCTTGTACTTGGCACCCGCGGCGCAGACACAAGAGGTCACAGGCGACAATCTTCTGTTCAGCTGAAGCCATGCCATGCATGCACTGTCATTGCGTCCTGAACTGCCTGCTTTGTGGTCAGGATGGATGCGCTTTTCTTGGCAGGACACCAGACCTCGTCCGAGTCGAAGCACATTGCGTCCACCATCAACTTGGCACAGGTATACACCCTCTTGCAGAACATGAGGCGTGCATCACGGAGAGCCTCAAGTTGAGCTCGAGTCCGGCGCCCCTCAAGCGGGCGCAGACATAGGCAGAGAGTTGACATGGGTCCGCAACTGCACGGACATTTTGCGGAGGGCGTGGCTCTTGAGAACCTTCATGTTGCCAGCATTCTTCCGGCGTGCGCTCAACCACCGTGGCGAAGGCCTGCTCAGCATGTCAGCCAAGGTCAGACCATCTTCCTGCTGCGCAAAGACAGAAGTCCGGGTTGTCCGGGCTGTATGATGTAGTCCCCCTTCACGGTCGCTTCACACCTTTCAGAGGAACCGAAAGCACCACATGGCATGCCCCATGAGTCGATGATATAAGTCGACCACACAAAGGCGCATTGCCAGGAAGCAGGAATCCCGTACTTGGGCGCTCCAGGTGGACCAACAGGCGGCGTCACCACCAAACTGGAAGCGTCTCTTGCCTCTATAGTCATGGCGAGACCGTAAGAAAGGCACTTGCTCCAGCATCCAGCATCGCGCAACTCGGACACTCATGTCCATGGCGGTCCTTGAAGATGATCACGGTGATCCCTTCGCCCTTCCCTTGATTTCACTTTTGCCTGTCTTTGCGGCAGATATCGAACGGTGGTGTTTTTGCCCTTGTTCTTCCCTGCTTTCCCCTTGCCTTTTTTCTGCCACGACGTTGGACTTGAGGTCGGAGAAGCATTGCCTGAGGCGGGTTGTTGAGCATCGGTGAAGGCAACCACGGGGAGATATTGTCTGGCCATCTTCAGTTCATTGAAGCGACGACACGCATCTGTGTAGGAGGCTTCAGGCCAAAGCTCATCGCCATAGTAGCCAGTATCGTGGTCAAACTCATAGAAGAGGGCCTAAAGAACACGGCAATCTGGAGCGCGAAGGGACTGGCAAAGAGTTGCTGACTCAAAGGCCTTATCCTGAACGCTCGGCTCGAGGATGCGGAGAGCGCAGCTGGAGCCACTCACTACCTGGTCCGGCGATGGATCCGCTACCAACGCGGAAACACCGGCGGTACACGAAGTCAACGGGGTTGGAATGCGCAATGTTGAAGCGAAAAGCGAGAGCGAGAACACGACAGCGCACAACGAACGAATTGGGGCGCAGCGTAAGCTGCAGCAGCCGGCGCCACCTTTTGGCCTCATGAGCCCACCCTGCGATGGGCGCAAGTGAAAAACAAGCCCTGAAACTGAATGCGCATTTCACAGTTCTTTTCTTTGCATGGGTGCGTGCAAGCTACCCACATGGACAATCCTTCCGCTTTCCATTTCTCGTCTCTTTGGCAAACAAATAATATCTTGAGCTGCCAAGAGGCACCTGTGCTTGCAAGGAGTTGTGAAATATTTCATCTTTATAGTCCGCTTATTATCTATGCTTGCTTCTGCGCAAATGATGCTTGATGCCAACATGCAAAACAATCTCCTCCTAGCTTTTTGGAAGAATCAGAGATAGTAAGAGTAGAAGAACCCTGGGTTCGCCGGTCGGGGCTTCAACCATCCTGAACCTACATACAAGGCCTCAAGAGGACAGCTTGAGGAGCTCTCTAACGGCGAAGTGATTGTTAAGTTCCCGAAAAATCTAGGAACCAAGTCAGCGCAAAGCAGTGTGAGCTATTCTGCGTCCATACTAGAAGCTACCTCTATCCACGGCCTCGTCCGGGGCCTCGGCACAATGGAAATCCCATTAATCTCTCAATGTTCAAGATTTGTTTGAACTGATTGCTCTGACACAGGTTCGGCTCCTCCATCTCTCTGGATGGCTCTGACGGAATGCACGGCTCAGGACAGCGGCACCGTACCCAGCTGACCTGTCGATGTGGACGTGGATCAACATACTGGTGCTGAGCTCCCCAATTTCCAAGGCAAGTACCCTCCCACCATATCAACTGAGCACGTCTATGAAAGTTAAGTTGAGCTCCAAGTCTGCTGCTTTATTTGATTCAAAAATGTCCAAGTCACACTGACAACACCGCAAGCTGCCACGCAAGCCAAGAAAAGACAGGCCCATCTATACGAAGCATTGTCCTCGACCATGTGCAGTTGCGACGATTCCAAGTCAAGTGTCATGCGATTTCCATTTAGACCGACTCTACAATTTGTATGTTGCAGGAGCCGAAAAGGTCTGCTGTCAGGCGTCCTTAATGACTCCAATCGTGAGATTGGAGACGATCATGCTGAAGCCAGAACCAGCCATGTTCAAGCCCACAGCTAGTTTCTCAAACTTCTTGTGGTTCTTCGTGTCTTGAGGCGCTGAGGCAGCAATTACCAGTGGCAAGCAGCTGTAAGAGGCACTCACTGCTACCTCGACTGCAAGAGCTTTGTTCGCCTTCGGGAATAGTCTTTTGCACGCTGACGGTTCTTTTCCATATGCTGGAGGGCGGCGGGTGTTTTTTGTATGTGGCAGGTTGTTTTCTTATGCGGCAGGTTCTTTTTCTTACGCGGCCGGCTTTGTTTCTTGCAGTGTTTTCTCTTTATGCGTCGGGCTTTGTTTCTTCAGAGCTCCCGTTCGGCTTCACGTTTCGTGGACATGGTTTTTGGGTTCGACTAACAAAGACATCGTTGGTGGCTTCGTTGCTTTGTCATCATGGAATTTATGGCACCTTCCTTCTCTAAATTTTGCCACCGCGTGGCTCACAAAAGGTATGCTACCTTGGAACGACATCTTCTTCCTCTAGATTTTACCCCCGCGTGGCTACCTTGGATTGGCACCTTCCTCCTCTAAGTTTTACCCTCGTGTGGCTCACAAAAGGTACGCCACCGTGGAATGGCACTCCTCCTCTACATGTTAACGTCGCGTGGCTCACATACGGCATGCGACCTTGGAACGGCACCTCTCACCTATGAATTTTGCACCCGCATGGCTCACAAAAGGTATGCTACCTTTGGAATAGCACCTTCATCCTCTAAATTTAGCCCTCGCGTGGCTCACCAAAGGTACGTTACCTTCAATGGCACCTTCCTGTCTAATTTTTCCCGCACGGCTCGCAAAAGGTGCGCTACCTTGCGGGGGGGCCCAAAGAATGGAAGCCTCAAGCTAACCTGCAAAATCTGTAGCCCGAAGACATCGCGCCGAGAGGCGTGGAGAAAGGAAGGCCCAGACGCCTTCCTAAAAAAGACCTAAAGATGAAACCCGAAGGATGTGAACACCAAAGAAAGCTGCGACAGCCGTACCATGGGTGAGTCATGACATGTCTAGTTCATCAACCGGTTTCTCCGCAGGCTTTGAGCCACTGGCACGCTCGAGCGACAAAGCGTGACGCGCTTCGGATCGGCGTGCGTGTTGCCGTGTCGCGCCCGTAAAGCGGGCATCTGTGTTGTTCCTCCCAAGCCATACTACTTCATAGCCTACTAGCATCCCTTTTGGGTGGTTGCGCACTGCTGCTGCCGCAAGAACCTAAAGATGTGAAACGAGAAATCGAAACCCTGAAGATGTGAGCCCTTAACCACACCCTGAGCCAAAGCCTAGAAACCTTGATGCTGTGAAGGCTACAGCCAAGCCCTTCGAATCCCCAATGCGTAAACAAAAAAGGCAATTACCAAAAAAATACCACAAGGAAAAAACATGCAGAAAAAGAGCAGATAAATAAAAAAACACCGATTAAATAAGAGCCTGCACGGAAAAAACAGCGGGAACAAAAAAACACCACAAGCACAAAGAAACGCAGACCAAAAGCACACACCAAAAAAACAGCCGGAGTTAAGCAAAACAAAAAACAGCAGCACAAGAGAAACAAGGCACAAAAAACAAGCACAACCTGAAATGAAGCCGCAAAAGAAATCCCAACTAACACAAACACCCGCACTCCAAGTTAAGACCAATCTCCCACGTTCCAAATTGAGACCAATTGCGCGCTCCGAGGCCGTTTCCCTCGAACAAGAGTTCTATTTGACGGGCGCCTTTAACCAGGAACCTGTTTGACGGGGATCCTTTAACAAGGAACCTGTTTGACGGGGATCCTTTAAGGAGGATTCTGTTTGACAGGTGCCTTTAACAAGGAATCTGTCTCACGGAGATCCTCTAACAAGGATTCTGTTTGACGGGCGCCTCTAGCCAAGGATTCTGTTTGACGGGGCCCCTTGCAGAAGGATTCTGTTTGACGGCCATCATCGACACCTCGGCCGACACCTCCTAGCATACAAAAATGAACCACCTGCATAAAAAGAGCAACCATGTGCATAAAAGAAAGAACTATCGGCATAAGCAAAAGCACTATGAGCAAACGAGAAAGACACCAGCAGCATCAGAAAAAGCCCCCAGAGCATAGAATCTCATAGAAGAATACACCCTCGACTTTAAAAGCACCCCTGCCCATATCTCCGCATAGGGAAAAAAACAGCATTAAACATCCAGCCCGTCAACTTCTGCGGGCGACGTGACAAATAGCGGTTCTGCAAGACGGGCTGTTCATCAATCTTTTTGCAAGGCAAAGGTGCAGCATATCCACAGCCCACCAGTACCACACCGAAAATGGCCAGTTGAAACGCTCCAATCATCAGGAAAGCCAGCATCAAAGTTAGAAGGCCAAGTCCTCAGCACATCTCACAGGTTCTCTCAACAACTTTTGTTTGCCCAGGGAGGGTAGCCCGCTAGGAGGTAGGTAGTAGCGAGGTAGGTAGCTAGTAGCTACTAGGACGCAACTACCTTGGACGCAGGATAGCTCACGCTTCTTCAAGGAAGCGCTTGGTCTAGATTTTTAGGGACACTTCAGGTTGAAAGAAATTTAAGTCCTCAGCCAGTCGCTGCAGCCAGGGGACTAAAGGCTCGTAACTTTTGGTGTAGTGTAGACCCGAGAAACGGGACAAGCGCTGGGCTCAAGATGGAAACCATTGGAGCCGCAGCTATTATGAATCCAGCATTGTCTGCAGAGTAGCCAAACTCCCTCTGTAGCATGTCATCGCCAATCACTTCAAAGGGAAATACAACACCCCAAATGGCTGCTATGCCTGACAAGAAGACTATGACCTCGGACAAATGCAATGTTCAATTTTGAGATGAAGGCACAAGTAAGATTCAAACAACCTGAGTCACTGAGTGTCGGGCAATCTTGTGTATCTGTCTAACTAAAGCAAACTCTATGCTCGATGGTGGCGCCCTTCGTTCCAGCATCGGACGAACAGCGCGTGCAGTCGCTGTCCCTCGAAAAAGATAGCCAAAAAGCAGGGTCGAGATAAATGCTCCTACCACCAGAGCAACCTCAGTTGATGGAAACAAAAAACAAACGATGTGTATCTCAAGAAAGGCAGCTTTTGGATACTTATCTGTTTCCCGAGGCACTGAGAACCAAAGGGAGTTCACAACTCCAATTTGATGAAGCATTGGCCCTGAAAGTGGATATGACATGCTGCCTCAGGGGCGAATCCATTATCCGCCACTGAAACACAAGCAAAACTCAGCAAAGAAGCAAAACATGCATGAAATGAATGGCACCTCCAAGTCTTATTGAACATACGATAGTGGTCATTGCACAGCTCAGTCCTCTTCCTGCAAATGCATTTTCTGTCAAATGAATCAAACGGTTGAAACAAATGGTTCAAACCGTCAAACTTACAGCTTCCTTTGAAGAGATCGTAGACCAAAATCGTCTGCACCATCAGCAGCACCTGAAGCGTTCGAGGTTTTGCGTTGTCAAAGCGCAGGCTTGCCTCTTCATTTGGCCAAGTTGCGTTCAAGCCAAGCCAGAACAGAAGGCGCCCAAGCCACATGGCCGCGAGACTCTTCCACACAAATCCCAGGGTGGTTACACTTGATCCTGCAAGTCGGTACAGAGGTTCAATTGGGATGACCTATATCACACAAGTTGGACCAAAATCCAGAACGGTCAGGGCCCGTCCCCTCCCACTCCTATCGCTGCAAGAAAACTGGCCGTAATGGCCGTTCTCGTGCGACCAAAGCGGGAGATCAGCAAGGAACCCGGAGCGCACAGGATCCCTTCCACCGAGGGTTGCTGACAGCTTCATGCGGGTCACATGGGTGAACACTGGTGAACACTGGTGAACAAGGAAAAAGAAGAACAGTGAACAAAGCAAACAAGCATAAACAGTGACAGCTCATCAATCGATCTGAGGAAAAACGCAACACATGATGGCCTGTGAAGGAGCTGACCACAAAGAGCGAAGCAAACTCTGCATTGGAGAGCTGCATGGTGTCACAAATGCTGAGCTTAAAGCTTTGAAGCAAACCGTCCTGCGTTACTTCACCGAGCTCCGGCAGTGCGAAGCTTGGATATCCAAAGGTTTCAGCCCATGATTGTCATCTGATTCTCTGACCATCTATATATATATATATATGTCTAACAATTATCTTATCTTATCTCTTCACAGACTTCACAGCATCATCTGCTCGCAATTCCGTCATGAAAGTAAGGGCCCGGGATGAAGAGGCAAATCAAAGTCAGCAGAATGTACTTGTGAAGGCCTTGCAGGGCTTCGATTCCCGCAAAATCAATTCACCATGCAACACGCAGAACCGCATTGCCGTGTTTGCCTCTTCTCGGATCCACAAAATATTTGGCGACATGGCGGCTACAGCAGGCACTGAATGAGAGCACAACGATGCCGAGCGTCAGAATCCTGTTCAGAACGCGGCAAGAAACAGCCGAGCATTGGCTTACCAAACCTTGTCTTGGGTGACCAAAGGCCTTTAGCTTTAACCTAAGGCTGCCAGGCTGGAAACCTCTGAAAGATTTGCTTTTGGCGGGTGGCGCGACAAGCCAGCCATTGATGCGGTCAGCAGTCATCATGACCCCAGCTTTCTGTCACCACCACAGGCGTCACTAGCACATCATGGCACAAAAAGCTTGTTACTTCGTCTGTGCTCTGTGCAAAGCTGTACCATCCCTAGCACTTGTTCTATTCCTCTGAGCCAGTTTGTATTCATTTGTCTTGTAGTTTCACAACATGGTTGTCCCTCCAATTCTGCCTGAACATTCCTGTTTGCAGTTGATGACACAGCTTAGGCAAGGACACAATTATCTGATTCACAGTGTCACATATCATATCATAAACATCAACAAGGGTCTTGATTTGGCTAAAGTGGCATGTTGCTTTACCTCTCGTGGCAGTTCCTGCTCTGTTGAAGAATCTAGTCAAGTCTTGAGATCTAATTAAGCAGCTGCAGAGTGAGAGTTTTCGGAAGTCAGGCCTCTCCGCTCGCATCAACTTTGGTTCTGAAGCACACATCTCACAAAAGAATCCAACACAAATCGAGCCTTGCTTTGGGTGACGAGGCTTTCTTTGGCTTAGCCACAAAAACCTGAGGAATCTAAAGACGAGAATCTACGCTCAAATAGCCACTCTAGACAGGCCCATGATGGAGTTTTACAAGTCGTCCATGTGCCTCGTCATCGTCATCATCGCTGAAGAGCGACATTGAAGTACGCTTGGGTCTTGGAGCATCATCAAAAATGCCCTGCACGCAGGTATCGAACGCAAACAAGTCCGAGGGCTCACAGATTCGATGAAAATCTGCTCCGAAGGAATGAAACAACACGAAATGAGCGCCAGAAATGAAAGCCAAAATTGAAATTGAAATGTTCGGTTGCCTTCGGTGGACTAGCTTTCTCCTCTTTCTTGGCCTCCAGCCTGGTACACCATTAAACACTGCTTGTCAACAGAATCGAATGTCCACTTGCTTAAGTGGGTAAGTGGGCAGTGATCTTCGACCTCGTCAAAAAGAATATATTATCGGATATATGCTCTTTCTGAGATACAGTCCCTGACAAAGCAATGAAGACAATACATTTCTCCTAGCTAAAACCAAAGTGAAAAAAGCTTGTTCGAAACAATGTACTCAAAAACAACAAAATGTCGCTCTATTAGCCCTTAAGCACTTCAGTTGAGCACCGTCCAACAGTTCGCCTGGATTCTTCGTTTCGCCGATGCTCCTCATCCTTGATCAGCAGTTGCTCGTCCTCCTTCTTTCTGTGCTCGTCTTGTTGTCTAAGCGCTTCATTCCTCTTGGCTGCTTCCTCTTGCTCTCGCTTGACTTCATCTTCCTTCCTTCTTCGTTCCTCCTC